CATCGGAGAGTTGAGTGGTGGGCAACAGACATTGGCCGATCATTGGTCAATGTTCGACCAAACATTGGCCCATAGTCGACCGACGTACAAACGATGTATGAGCAATGTAATATACATCATCCGATTACCCTGGAACATCGTTTTATGACAAGTACTGCATCGCTGGGCCTTTGTTAGTCCAACAGGCAACCAAGCCATTTTTATCAAAAAACACATTGGTTGCCCATCGTATACCCCATCGCTTGATAATGTGACTGATACTTGAAGGACTACTAGATTGATGTGGACCGATGTTGGGGCATCGCTCACACTATCGCTCACACCACGGATTACCAGCGATTACCACCGGCCGGGAAATGTGACCTAGGCATTAAAAGGTTACAAGTTGCCGTCTCTAATTTAAAGAATATGCACGGGTAATAATAAGGAAGAAGGAAATTAAAGTGGTGTCAAACTGTGAAATTATTTTATTCATTTTTGCAATTTCACCTTAGCTATTTGTAAGCAAAACAGTTTTGATTGACCTGTCATTTACCCAACATTTACAAACGTAAAATTATGATTTTTACTTCACCAAATGATACATAATTGAAAACTGATGCTTTTAATTATTTTTTTCGCTGTTAAGAAAAACTCACCAGTACAATTGGCAGCATCCTGAGATCCTACAAACTTTGTACTAAAACCAGAAGGACAAATAATGCATTGCGTCTTTCCAATTTCGCTTTGATAAGTTCCTTTTGGGCATTGAAGACATTTTCCAGCTGTTGAATATGTGCCCATTGGACAATCAACTATGACAAATAACAATGCCAAATTTATTTCAAAAAATGTAACAGACATAATATATTTATAATTAACTGTACTTGAGTCATTTTCAAATTGATCGTTTTTTTATAATGAACAATAAAGTGACCCGGTAACTTTACAAAGTGATTTTCGAATGTGTCAGGACATTTCTTTCCTTAACTTTTCTCAATTTAATTTATCATTTTGGTACGAAAAAATGGCAATTTCTGATAATCACATGAATATGTTTTAACAATCTATGAGGACCGTGGATCGATGTCCCAGAACTCCTCTCGGTATCTTGATCCTAATGATTTTTATTTTACTTTAATTTTATTTTCGTGGAATATAACAACCAATAGTTAGATCCGTTGTTCAATGCTTCAAAGATTCAATATTAAACTTCATGTGCATGTACATTTTATTCCTCATAAGTATTGGGTAACTACGCTTTAACATTAATAAAATACTAGTAAGTGAAACTTTTCTTTTGTTCAGAAGAAGGCTGATTTTTGTACATGCTTGCGTTAGCAAAATTAATAGTTGATCCTAATAATACCATATCAAAATGATCCGGGATTTCGTATTGCTCTCGTTGATTAATTTGTTGAAAGGTCAGTAAGATTTCGTTTTTTAAATAACGATAGGGACGAAGTAATAAATGTTTTAAGTAAACCCAACCGTGACGTATCATTTGTTTGTATTGAGATTTGAGAACACAATAGGTATGAAAGAAAGAAATAAATGTATACGAGTAATAATAAATTTCAATTGCTGGTTCGTCAACTGTTTTTTAACCCCCCCCCCCCCCCCCAAAAAAAAAATAAAGAATGCGAGGGTTGTCCCAGGAAAACGCGAACATTTTCAACATTTTTCGATTCATTAAGACTATTTAATTAAAAAATGCCATACATCGTCGTCAAAACTTTTCGAATAATGCCTAAGAATTCCAATGAAATATCTCTATAAATAACATTTTCTAAGAAGTAAACGAATCTACCAAATCCGCTGTCTGAGCACTACTGACGACACAAAACGTACCTGTGAATTTGTTCTTATAACTGTGCATCAAATAAAATTCATTAACGATCGAATGAATTCGGTACTGTATTCAATTTTCTTTTAGTCACCAGGTTAAAGATCTCAAATATAAGTGTTACTAAAAGATTGCGGAGTTAATTCTTTTAAAAGACAAACCTAACTCATTTCACTGTGGTCTTCACATAGGCCTGTGAGGTCCTTCATTTGTCTATTCAGTTTATCTTTATTTTTCTCATCTATCAAATTACCAGCCAAGTCAAGCTTAAACCCTTTCAATAGAAATTAACCTGTGTTCCATACTTATATTTCACGTGTTTTCATCATGATTAGGATCTCATTGACCCATGTACAGGAGTCATACCCTTCTCAACGTAGTGTTGCTTGACAATTTTGTAGTCCGAGTTACCGCCAATGTCACTAATTTTGACAATATCTAATTCAAGGTGTTTTGGTGCATGTTGTAATATATTTGTCATTATAGGTGTCAAATAAATGTAGTTTTAAATGCGAGTACACAAAGTTAGAGATTATTGATGTACATGTACAAGGTAAATTTTCTTACATTTTTTCCCGTATAGTCTTATTTGCAAGAAAACCCCATTGAAAATGCTATTTGAAAAAGTCAAAAATTGTTCATTCACCGGTCCTTCTTTAATCTATACACCTTTGCAATAGCTTATTGACTAAATATGACTCTGATGTTCTTGGAAAGACTTCCGAAGTCTTAAGCTACATTTATTGTTCTTAATTGCAAGTTTATTCTTGTGGCCTTTAGCTTATCATAATATAAAACCACTTTCTGGTTATAATTACGTTTACCATTTATAGATGTTATAATCACCTTTTATGAATGGAGTTTGATTGGAAATGGCTAAGTGGTTCTAGGCCAAATCCAAATGTGTCAACTTAACAGACGGACGGTCGGACAACCGGAAAAACAAACAATAGAAAACTTATGATCAGAAAAACTCACTTCAGCTTATTCAGTAGGGATTAATTTGTATATTTCATAAGGTTATAAGCAGTGAAATACTTTTAAAATTTAAAATGAACGAAAAGAAATAGATATTATACTGCTGTAATAGCTAAATACATGTATCTTACTGCAAATGGGTCCACCACTGCCTTGTCCGAGTCCACACACAACAAATCCTGCAGCCTGTTTCCTTAGAGGTAAATAATTAACTCCACCCACATCGAAGGAAAGAATTTCAATTGCATCAAATATATCTTTGGTAGAATTTTCTAGGTTTTCCAATATATTTTTATAATTTTCCAATTCTTTGTTCACTATGTCGATAAAAACAAAATAATACAAAAGGTATGTCATATTAAACAAGTGTTTTCAAATCATAATTTGATGAGGTGTATGAGAAATTATTAATTAATATTGACTTACATTTTCCTGTTGTCATATATTGTGTTAAATCCAGGTTTTCACCAGGAATTGTCGCAGTCAAAGTTATGTTTGAAGAAACTACTTCCTTTTTATGTTCACATTCTGAATAAATTTGATAAATGTAAATTAAAGTAAACTGAAAATAACATACTCTGTAATTAAAAAAAAATAAACCTATACACCAAAGAAAAAAAATATTTTTTACATACATGTTATTGTGAATATAGTTTCTGAACGATATTTTCTAATTTTGATGTGTTCATGTTTTATAAGTTTGATAATTATGACTTATAAGGATATGAAAAAAGTGCGTATAAAACAGATATGTTGTCATCATCAGTCAGAAATAAAGGTAATTTTGTGGGTTTTTTTTTTTATAATTCTCAAACTCACTTTTTCAATTGTATATTCTTTTTGTTCAAGTTAGACCTAGATTAAACGCGAGAAGTTTTATGACCCCAGAGCAATGGGAAGAAGTAATGGTTTATTGGTATGCAAGTCAATTACAAACCGTCCATTGAAGCTTTTAGTTCACATATCCCATGTTTAAAGCAGGGCAATGTTGCTTCTAAATTACTATGTAGAGTTTCTAAGGCTGTCGAAGACTCGTTGCAGGGTATTAAAGAGTTGTACTCTATGGTAGTTATTGAAGATAATTTATTCGGTATCTTTGCTTCTGAAAAAAGAAAGAAACTCAATATTATTTTAATAGTATTACAATTCTAAAACAGTTCTAGTATATATGAGTGAAAAAATCTCGAAAGGGACGGTAAGCAACAAACAAATAAATAGACAAAACTAAACAATACTTTAACAAAGTGTGATTATTTATATTGTAAAATGTATATCATAAATAGTTGTTTTGTTATATTACTTACTCCCACAAGCAGGTGTAAGGCCATTCCAAGTATACCCAGTGCCTTGTCCACATCTGTACTCTTCGAGAGGACGATTTTCTGGAGCAAACACGTATCCTGCTACACAAGACACTGAACAAACTTTATCTCCACTAACAACCGAACAGTTCATCACGTTACCGAAGGAGAGTTGAAGTTCCGGACAAGCTATATAACAAAAGGTAAAACAGAAATTGCTTTTTTATCTCTTGTAATCAGTACACTTATATTATATAATTATAATATATATTTTATTATCCATTATGATTGATTTCGAGTTAAAATTAAGTTTTACGTACTGTTATTTAGAGGAAAACTGTGTATGTTAAAACTCAAAAAAATATATTTTTTGCATTAAGTTATATCAATGTTTAATAAAAGAAATCGCTATATTTATTCAGTTAACATTTTAGAACACAGAAGCCCTTACATTGAAGTTTTAGATAACTAGACATAACTAACTCTCGAATGAAAAATGATTTAAATTGATACTTTAAATAAGTATACTGTGTTCATAAAAAAGCTCTATTTATTATATGTAATATTTTAGGTCCATGTTCGCCCTTTAATGTACATATATGTATTTATACATGTGTATATTGTTTTATTATTATTTAAAGCATGACTATTTATGTTATATTCACATTTTATTTGCAACATATTTTAATCTAAGTGCTTCAATGAATTAAGGAATCGAAAACAAAATCAAAGGCTCAACGGATTTTTTAATAAAAGCATGAGAATGATTCAAATTAAAATAAATATATAAGACTGTGACTTACTTGGACATGCCTTGGTGTTACAAGGTAAATTTTCGGATGCCAGTGAAGGGTTACATTGAAGACCTTCGGGATCCGGGAAAGGATTATTGCAATCACGAGATCTCGTCTTCATGCCTCCATTACATGTCACTGAGCACTCAGAAAAACCACATCATGCACTCCAACCACCGTTCACTATATAAAGAGAAGTGGTGTTCTTTAATATAAAGAGACTACTGGAAATTAACGTATTTGTCAAGTAACCAATATGCACCAGGGTCATCCAAAAAATATGTAGACAATGTTCCTCATCGTCATATTATTATTACAAAATTATTGATCAACAAATTTTCGTAAACAAAAACATTTATTTTGTCGAAGTGTGAAGTTTTATTTACCATGTATCACTATTAATTCTGCAGAAGTGAAGCGCACATTACGTTTATGACGTTCCTAACTCTTTTGACAATATTTTTAACCATAACTAGTTTCTTCGCAGACAATCCATCGTCCGATTCAATCTCGACACCGCTCTGAAATTGTACTTTCCGTTTTATTCAAATACACGGCTTATTTTTCATTTAGATCCTGGTTTATACAGAGATTTTTAAGTTTGTAAAAAAAAATCACCGAATGCAAAGCACAATTTCACTGCTACTCGCTGCTCCGTGACGTTCTCTAACGTCATGTTTTTTTTTTTTTTTTTTTTTAGTCAAGTCCACATGTATTTAGAAACTGATATCTTTTAAGCGGAGCAACATATTACATAGCCTGATATCATTTTGTTTAATACAGCAATATACTTGATTAAAACATGTAATTTTTATTTCGTTTCAGCTCCATTTAGAGATATGGCTATAAATGCTATATAGTGAAAATTAGTAAATTACTCAATTTTTACTGTGTTACGTGGCCCAATTTTTTGCTATTCTAAATCTTTGATAATTTTAAGAGATATGAGGATATATTCCAATTTTTTTACTATAATTATTTGAATCTGTTGTTAAAATATATGTACTAACTTTGGATATAATATGACGTTAAATAAAAAGGTTAGGGCAAAAGTCTACAAACTTTTTGAATGACACTCGTAAAATATACAAGTTACACCAAAAAAAGAAGAAAAAAAAAGCAATCAAATTTAAGGAAAGCTACCTGTTAATCATATAAGATTTTTTTTTTTTTTTTTTTTTTAATTGGCTCTTACATTTTAGAAATTAAAATTAAAGACATACATGTAACATTGCAGCAAAGATATATAATCAATATTTCTAGTAGTTATAGACTTTAAATAATCTTAAATAATAACTGAAAATTGTTTGGGCTCATACTTATAAAAAGAAATAAAAATACACATAGATCATATAGATCAGTTTTCCAGATTATTAAGTAATTCTTGCCATTCTTTGTAGAAATCTTCTAATTTTCCCTTAGTACAATATAGAAATTTTTTAATATATAATTTTTCCTTTAAATATTTTCTAAAAACCATAAAATTCAAGTTACATTGACAATTCTCTTGTGCATTTTTAACGGTAGAAATATAGTATTTTGCTAGCAATAAACAATAATTCAGAGCTGTATTATAAGTATTTGTATAAATTCCAAATATCACATTTTGACATGAAATATCTTGGATAAAACATATATTCAAACTATTCCACCAATTCAAAAATTCATTCCAAAATGCTTTAGTACTTTCACAAAAATAAAACCTATGTTCTATTTTGTCAATTTCTGTACATGTTTTACATGATGGTGATTTATTTATACTCATATTATATAATAATTTTCCATGTGCTATAAATCTATGAATTAATTTATAATTAAAAGATTGCAAATAAGTCTCATTATTACATAAAAAGGAAATGGAAAAAATATTTTTCATGTCTGATTCTGTTATGCTAACATCAAATATATTTTCCCATTTTTTAATATAAGTTGGTTGCTCAATCAATTGTTCTATTATAGTCCAATAATAGTCTTTGCATTGTATTTTTGAAACTGGACATTTCTTATCATCAATAGAAAGTGTTAATGTATTTCTATTAAAATTAGGTTTTTGCTTTTCCCTCAAAAATTTTCGCCATTCTTATGGTATTGCCATTCTAATAGACATGTAGTCCAGAAAAGAAATGTTTATTCCATTAAGCTCGACTAATTCTTCATGACTTAAAAAATCTCTATTTTCACCAATAATGTCATTTACATAAACTATTCCACAATTGTACCATTTTTTCCAGAAGATGGGTGTTTTGTTCATCTTGATTTTATCATTAAACCATAAAATTTCCTTAAATACTTTAGGTTCTACAGAAACATTATGATAAGTTCTAAATTCCTTCCAACAATTTAAAATTGTGGTATATACATGTGTAAAAAATCTATATAGCATCTTGATTGAAGTAAAGTTTGTAAATTTATATCTTCAAAATATGCCTGAAAAATCATAAACCATTTTGTGAACTTTAAGTCCACCCTTATTTATTTGTTGACATGCTACAGTTAATTTAACTTTTGGTTTGTCACTATTCCATATAAAAGTTGATATCATTTTATTTACTTCTTTTATAATCTCATTAGAAATTGGTAGTACAGTAGCTTGATAAATTACTTTAGGAATTGCTAGTGTTTTTGTAATCAAAATCCATCCTATCAGAGTTAAGTTCCTCATTTTCCAAAGGTTGAGAGTTGCTTTAATGTCATCTACATGTAATTTGGAATTGAATTTTTTTACTAAAAGTTATGTTCCCCATGTACACTAAACCAGATTCCAAGTGTAAAGAATAAACCACTAGACCATTTTACTGGCAAGCTGCCTGGAGGATAATTCCTACAGCTAACAATCCATATGGCCTCTGTTTTATTAAGATTGATCTTTAAACCAGAACAGTATTTAAAATTTTGGATGATTCTCAATACTTCAAATCCTTATTTTTCATCACTTAAGAAACAAGTAGTGTCATCTGCTAGCTGACTGATTTTAAATTCTGTTTCACCAATTCTTATACCATGAATGTTTTTATTTGATCTAATTGCAATAGCCAATAATTCAACACATAACATAAATAAGTAAGGTGATAAAGGATATCCTTGTCTAACACCTCGAGTTATCTTAAAAAAGGAGGAGGAATATCCATTATTGATTAAGCAACTTGTTATATCTGAATATAAGATGCGTACCCATTGTCGCAGCCCTTTGCCAAATCCAAAAGTTTCTAAAACTTTATCTAATTATAACCATTCAACTGTATTAAAAGCTTTTTCAAAATCTACAAACAAAATAAGTCCAGGAATATTTTTGATACTTGTGTAATCAATAAGATCTGCGATAGTTCTAATATTTTCTCCTATACATGTATATCTATTTTCAATATAACCTGTTTGATCAACATCAACTACATGTATGTAAGGCAGTAGTTTTTTTAATTCTACTTGCGAGAACTGTTAATAACCTTTAACTAACAATTCTAGTGCAGCTAAAATAATATCTCTATAGTTAGATTTTCCTTCAGTAGTACCACCTTTTTTATCTAGTGATGGATTTAAAGTAATATTGAAATCCCCTCCAATGACTAGATTTTCAAAGCTATATGGTTCTATGTAGGCCAATAATGAATTGAAAAAATCCACATGACAATTTGGCTTATCCTTTGTTGGAGCATAACTATTAGTTAAAATAAAGTTGGTTTCATCTATCATTAAATTGACTTGTATAATTCGACCTTCATTATCTTGTACCTTTTCTTTAATAATATAATCTATATTATGAGGAAAAAGAATAGCTACTCCCCTGCTGTTGGATTCACCATGACTGAACTCTATATCAGACCCCCAATCCTTTAACCACTGACTTTCATTCTCTGAAGCTGAGTGCGTTTCTTGTAAAAATATAAAACTGTTTTAAAGGAATTCTTTAGCCATGTAAAAATACCGAGTCCCTTAATTTTTGCGCCGAGCCCTCTTACATTAAGTGAAATACACGATAACTCAAACGACATCAAAATTGAACAATTCTACATGAACGTTACCAACTGCACTGCTACGATTGTGTGACAAACTAATACAAAGTGTTAAAGAGCCAAAAATAACAAGAAAAGAAACAAAGAAAAGAAAAATGAAAATATTTACAAAAAATAACAAAAAACATACCTTCAAAGGGTGAACTAGAAGACCGAAAAAAGCTACATGTCCTCTATTCATAGTCTAAGTCGGAAGTTTACTTCCGTGTCATCAAAGACAAAGTCCTAATCTAAGGGCTTAACATTATCCGGAAAAGATTCCGGTTAGTTTCGCAAAAAAAAGAAGTGCAATTATTTACATACATTAGAAAGCGCGTAATACAAGATACAGTACAGACCAGACCCAACCTGACACAAAGCAGTCCCAAAGCAGTCCCGGGGACTGCTTTCTTGGACTGCGAAAGCAGTCCCACAGCAGTCCCAGTGCAGTCCCACAGTGGTCCCAGAGCAGTCCCAGCAGTCCCAGCGGTCCCAGAGAGCAGTCCCAGTAGTCCCAAAAAGCAGTCAGAGCAGTCCCAGTGGGCGGGGTTTATTAATTTAATCGGCGGAGCTAACTCAGAAATGAGATTTGCAATAAACAATGGAACTATAAAAGGCAGTAGAAATTTATTCTGGGTAGTATGCCAGGACTCCTTACATGTGTGCGAAGGTCACTTATGAACAGTACGCGCATAGAAACAAATTAAATGATTTTTTTACTGAAGACAGAAGGGTTTCACACGTACATGTATGAATTAAACTGAACACGAACATTTAATCGCAATTATCGGGTGTATTAAATTAATAATTCAATTTTCTTTATTTTCAGTCTGTGATTTATACTGTTTCCCATTTATTTTTTTATACAGAAAATTAAACTTGAATTAATTATTTTCCACCAGTAAGAATTAACTTTAAATAGATCTCATCATCATATGGCCAATTTCCATACTATCGGGATTTTAGAAAATTCTTTGTTAATTTTGCCAAATATTATTTTTTAGTCATGATTATTTTTACTGACATGTCAATTTAATTATTGTTAATTTCTCTATCTCTATAATACTCAGTTTTAAGTGTTTTATTTGTAAATGTTAGAATGTACATCTCTAAATCACCAGAATTGAACCATCAGATTATGTTCAAAATTAATTAATCCTGAAAGAAATTCATACACATTTTATTGATCAATTTAATTTTTGCATTATATACCGGTAGATGGAAATTAAGGTCATTGTTGACCAACATGTTCAATGATGTGAAACGCTGATACGTATACCAAAATAGCATGCACTGATTTTCTGCCCTAAGGCGATTGAAACTGCGGGTGTTGATACCATGCAATAAACATTAATCGGCCAGGTACATGTAAACACAAGCAAAAGAAAAAAGAAATAAATCACAATTTCCGGTATTTCTTTATTTATAAAATCAATGTTCTCTTTTGAAAACTTGTTTATAAATTAAAAACTACCGGTAATTCATTAATAAATTCCCCGATGATTATTCAAATAGTTTGAGTTATGGAAGAATGGTAGCATAATTTTATTTCATGGTCATTTAATAAATGGTTAGGTTTTATTTTAGGGTTGCATGGGTACTTTTCTAGAGTGGTGCTCGTAAAACATGAAGCTTTTCAATAAAAAATAATATATCTAACTGTATAATGATTATTTTTAAATAGTGTCCATTCAAATGTTCAGTGCACATAATTTAACAATAAAAAATAAAATAGACCTACATGTAGATATTTTTTCTCATAAACCTGTAGTTTATTTTTAGGGATAAAAATCTACTTCTGACTTCCTTACTTAATAACGTTATTAAAAAAAAAATTCTTACTACAAATGTGTAAATTTACAGTCTCTGAAAATATTTATTAACTATTAATAATCTCTTCTAAGAAAGAAATCTTGCTTTTTAATAGTTTAAACTCCTCTCTGCTGCTAGTAGACAAAACAACTGGGAGTCTGCAAATTCAGAATACACAAGGGGGCGGAGCTATCATGTCACTCAGAACTTCTTTCACGCATGAGTGAACAAAGCAGTCCCAGAACAGCTGGGTCTGCTGGGATTGCTGGGTCTGCTTTTTAGAGCAGTCCCAGGGCAGTCCCAAAGCGGTCCCAGAGCAGTCCCAAAGCAGTCCCGGGGACTGCTTTCTGGGACTGCTTTGGTGTCAGGTTGGGTCTGGTCGGTACTGTAGTTACATTATTTGTGAAGGAAAAAAGTGTGAATAGCACATATAGCATTGTTATCACTGCCTAATAAGAACCGTTCTATAAACAGTTCGGTTTAAATGAAGCAAGAGTGGGGTGGGGGTGGGGGTGGGGGTGTTATCATATATACAAAAAAAATAGAAGAGAAAAAAAAACACACACACACAATAAAGCTCAACTCTGTAAAAAAAAGAGTTGAAAGTTTTAAACAATCAATGATTAAATATCAACATTGTCATTCTACATGTTCTCAGTAATATTGCATAATTTTGAGGCAATTTAATGTTGCTGCAGGAAAAGCTAGGGAGTTTATACACATCATATGCACACTCACTAACTAGTGTGTCGGAGAACCACGTCAGTCAGCAGATTTTCCAAGATTTCGAATCGACGACCACCAATGTGCTTCGCTTGAAATCGCGAGATTACAACTGTCATATTTTTGATTATAAGATTCTTGTTCGCTATTAAACTTTTTCAGTTTAAATTTGGAATTTCCTCTGGTGAGATGTTTTTATATATTTCACTTCAGTGTATCGCATTGTGTCAAACGAAGGGTCATTAATGACTATCTATACTACTCTATTTTAAAGATGTAAAAAATTATTATTATACTCGTAAACTGTTTTCATTAAAGGTTTGCTACAATCTATATCTAATCATAGACCTTATAGATAATTTTAAAAGTTCTATTTTCGTATTTTTTTAACTTATAAAACTTGGTATTATACTTTTGCCTTAATTCAAATCTTAGAATAATGATTAGAAAAAAAACAAGTTTTTTGTAGCCTTCAGTGCAGTGCAGTGCAGCACGTATAGATGACTTTACTCAGCGTCTGTCTGTCAGTCTTCCGACCGTCTGTCCGTCTGTTACACCTTATATTTTGAGAAGTGAAAGAGGTATGGATTTAATATTTTGCACATATATAACTTGGTATTATGAATACACATGAGCAGAGAAGATTAAAAAAAAACAATGATGCATATACATTTCTTACTTATCATACCAACAAGCATTAATCTGAACTCATCATTGCGGAGCCACAAATATGACAATTCTAGAAGATGCACAATATGGTTTTTAACATATTTTAAAAGGAAAAACATGTATCTAAAAGTAAATGACAAACAGTCGATAGGCAGTTTAATCATACTAATTTTGGTTAAACAAAACTTAATTAATCAAACTGATATAACAGCAATACAAATTTCAGTGAATAAATGATTCTTACCGACAGGAATTTCACAATTTTTCCCTTTGTACAATTTCGAACATGTACATATATGATTGTATTTTCCATTTTGACAAACACCACCGTTTTTACACGGCGCTGCACTACAGTAGTCGGGGGGAACCTCACAAGTCTCACCAGTGAAACCATTGTTACAGTCGCAGCTGTAGTTTCTAACTAAGTCAATGCAGCGGTGGCCATTGCATGGATTTGGGATACACTGGTCGACATCTAAAATCGAAAAAGACTTATCTTATCTAAGCTTTTTTCCTTAGTATTTGAGAATGAAAAACCTATAATACATTATATATTATCTCTTATAAGAATTTTATAATATATGATTTATAAAGTATTTTGAATGAAATTTTTGATTGTGTATGTTAAGTTTCGATAGAATAAATAATGACTTTTTATGAAAGTTTTCTCTGTATTTGACTCCGTATACATTAATTAATTTATCCTCGCTACAACTCACTGTCACATTGGCTTGGCGTTTTAATGCGTGAGTTATCAATTGATGTCCAGTCAATGTTACTCAATGTAACAAACGTATCATTCCCGAGGTAACTACATGACGATGCATGTAGAAGAATCTCGTCTTCAGAAGGAATATTTGGAGTAATCTGATACCCAGATATAGAAATGTCTACGAAAAAAAGAGAATATTAAGATAAGTTTGACAAGAATTTTAGAAGCGGTGTCTATTTGTGAAGTTTGATTAAATATCAATTTCATTTGTCGGTAAATATTACAGTTTATGCATTAAATTTAAAACCACATTTACAAAAAATTATACAGAAATTAGAATTGATAAAAAACGTTCATTTCCCTAGCTGTTGTAAGAAATAATATGATACATGTAGCTAAGTGTAACGAAAAAATGTATGTTCTTAAGAAAACAATAGATCAAAATTCTATTTTGCTAGAGAATGAGGGATTCTCCGATTCGATGACTTTTCTGCATAAAGAAATGTTAAAATTCAAAGGAAGTATTTAAAAAATCGTAAATATATAAAAAAATATATCTTGCCTTTTTATTATTTCATTACCTGTTGATGGGTCCTCATCAAGAACTACATCAAATCTTAAGTCCGGTCCAATCAAATTGGCATTTCTATGGCAGGGAAGTTGTTTTTGAGAATTTCTGATTCCATTTATATAGACACTAATTGTGTTTCTTTCTGTGCTCATGATAATTGCTACATGATGCCAGTTTTGAGTGTCCTTCGAAATATCCAGACTCACTTTGTATCTTTAAATTTAATATATATGATTTTGAAGCGAATCGTTGTAAGAATAGGAACTTGTATTTTATACTGGTTTTAGCGAAGGATTTTCAAATGTAAAAAATCTTTTCAAATATCAAAAAATATAAATAGAATTCAAAATGTAAGGAAATGAAACTTAATCACGCAAAATATCAATATATGTCGACAATTAAGAACCTTACTATACAATTTCAACGCCAAAAATTCAAATGTCCAATAACTGTGGTGTTCTACGTGGCACCGGATCCTATTTCTTTTGTTTTAGAGGTGTGAGTGGCTTCGCTCCTGATTTTTATTTTCAATGGATATTGAGCATAAATACTGATCGCTTTATCCTTATTTGTCATGTTCATTTTATTCAATTAAACGTAATATAGGGAAATGTCAATTTTTTCCTATATATTTAATGGTATATGTTTAAGTAGGACATAAACATGATAAAACAGGACATGTGTCCATTTCTCGGGAACCAGGTTATGAAATATGACGTATTACTTACATGTAAACTATATAAGCAAAAAAAAAAAATACATTGTACTAGTGACCACAAAAGCTTCTTTAAGAAGACATGTGTTTTCTACGTTGTAAAACACCTAGCTATGCCCTGATTATGACCTGTTTAAAATATCATGAAATACCATATTACAACGTCTCCATATGAATGAAAAATTCTCCAGAGGGACTTTAAACAAAATACAATCAATATACCATATTACACATGTTATTGCATCTGTTTAGCAATTGTAGATTCGGTATGTCAATAATTTAGAAACATTAAGAAGACGGTCCAGATATTTAATAAAGTGATACCCGTTGATTTCCACCAAGACAGTTTCTCCGTATGTAATCTTCAAATCAGAGGAACTTGACTTTCCATGCAACAACACCAAGCTAGAGTTGTGATTCTTAATCCATGTGAAAAGTGCAACACTTTTTGAATCGAATACTTGACTACCATCTAAAGAGATGTCATCCCCTCTTTTCACAAATGTAATATCAAAATCTGTAAGGAAAATAAGAACCTTTTCTAGCTGTCAAGAAAAGTATCCACCGGTTTTTATTGTTTTATCTTGCTTCAGATTTTTTTTTGGTGTTTATCCGGGAGGATTCTTCAATATAACTTTGTAAATTTTCCTACTAATTCTTCACTTGCAAGAAAGTACAAAGTGTAAGTTTCAGGCAAAATCTGTTATACATTTTAGTTATGATATATGCTATGCCACACTTTTTCCTTTGCTTCATAAATCTAATGGAATGATATTAACATTGCATATAACGGAAATGAAACATGTTATCGATAAACTGTATCTTAAGAAAGTAATTATTTTTACTAATATTGTAAATTTTTTTAAATATACTTGTAAAGTAATTTTAAAAAATGTTAATATTATAAAATAAAAATTGCATGTTAGATATTTTTTAGAACTGAATCAAAGGCTGAGTTACAAAAAGGGTTTTCAATTGTCTTTCAAAAACAGGACTGATGGTATGGCGAATACATACCGGGTACTGGAAAACTGTTCCAGTTTTTATACAAACATTTTAATTTACCTGATCATTTAATTTTGTAAATGAAATTTGGAATTCTCGAAGATTTATCACCACACAAAAAGTCCGTCGCTAAGTACACCTTTCCGTAGACAACGAGAAGAATTTTGGATTAGAAAACAAGGGACAGTCTTTCCCTACGGATGCAATCACTATGTCGATAGTGTTGGAAATCTTTCCAGTCCACAGTGTAATAATTTAAATGTGATGGGACTTTTTAACCATACACAGAGACGTAAGCGTAGTTGTGGCCATATAGGTCGCACAACAAACCTGCAATACACGACGTCTCTTTCGATTCATGTTATGTTTATCAATAGTTAGTTCTACATCATATTGATGAAACTTTATTCTGTCCCTTTGAAACTTTTAAATAGTCTTCTTGAAAAGGTGAAGGCGAATCCAATTTTTGATTCCTCGACACGAGAATATAGACTCGAATTGGTGATAATGGATGTTGCACATCATAGGCTTTTTTCGCACCGTACGTTTACAAGAGAAAATGCAGCTAAAACAATCCGTCTTTTCCTTAAGCTTCAATGTAAAGGAACTAAAACCCGGGTTTTTATATGTTATATTCTTAATCACAAAAAGGTCTATCTTGTATTCCACCATATTAAAAACTAAAGACTACACCTTGTATTTCCTATAAATAGTCATCGATCATTGCTTCTAAACTTTTCAATTACAAGAAAACTTTACATGGCCTGGAAACCGAGTATCTGAAACATAATCCTCCATCGTATTCATGTTCTCCATCGCCCTATAACGAAAGACCTGCTGGGCAAGTCATTACAGGTGATATAGTTAGTAATTATGACCACTTAAACAAAAGGTCCTAAATATTTGGGAACCCTAATCCTTCAACTGGCATCGGAATTTCATAAATTCTATTTTGTTTAAAATTACACCAGGAGATATAAAAAGATATGAAAAAGAAAAACGTTGACTCCTTGTAGAATGGATTAAATGTTCAGATCCCCTGTTAAAGTCACGTATTAAAAGATTGATGGTCAATATATTAGAAATTTCATGATCAGTACGAAAAAGGTCCCTGCCGGGCAAAGCCCGGTAACAAGATTGTCTTCGTTTGTAAAAAGGGTCGTTGTATAAATTGTGTTTTAGAAGAACTTTTTATTTAATTCTATGAGCGGTAATTTTATTTTTACTATACTTCCCTTTCTAAGGAATAGATTCTTCAAATTCATTTGTCAGTTGAAAAAATTTTTTTAATATTCCACAGAGCAAGTTAATGAAACAAGAATATAAGCAGTCTCGTTTAAAGTCATTATTTCGCAAGTTTTATGGTCCATACAAATGCCCTTGTCATCAAATACAGTTTATCAAATTGAGTCAAATACCATGACGTTTTTCATACCAATTGTTAGTCCATACTGAATTGGCGACGGATTTTTCCGTTATTTCCTGATCATGACAAGGACACACGGCGGGATCGGTAAAGGAGATGCTCCTGTTTCCATGGCAACTGATCCCACCTCTGATTTTTCGGAAATCCGTGTTTGCTCTGCTTCTATTTTGTATTGTTTTATGGACATTTATATTGAATACTGTTCGTTACCTTCATACCCTTTCCCCATATATGGTCAGAGGTAAAGTTACTTTGTCAATCACCGTAAGTTCCAATGCATATTTTCGACAAAGGAGCAGCAAATTTGTCGGATCAATATAAGTTTAATCTTTCCTGGCCCAGTGGTTTTGGAATTTTTTTTTAACTTTTTCCCCTATATATTTCTTCGTAAAACTTTGATCATCAATTGTCCCCGCCCCACCCCCGGGGGGTATGATTTGAACAAACTTAAATCTACACTACCTGAGTATACTTTTACATTTAATCTTTCCGGGCCCCTTTTGGGTTCTTAAAAAAGATTTTAAAAGATTCTTCATATATATCCCTATGTAAAACTTTGAAAATCAGTTGTGGCCCCGGGGGCTATCTGAACAAACTTGAATATACACTACCCAAGGATATTTCCATATAAGTTTCATTTTTCAGATCCAGTGGTTCTTGAGGTGAAGATTTTTTAAGGATGCCATTTTTTTTTCACGAATTCTTAATTATCTCCCCTTGAAAGAAGATAATTCCCTTTTTTAATAAACGTGAGTCTTCTCTACCCAAGGATACTTTGTGGCAAATTTGGTTGAAATTGGCCCAGCGGTTCTGGAGAAGAAGTCGAAAATGTGAAAAGTTTACAGACAGGCGGCAAACAGACAGATGGACCCGACAAAATTGACAAAATCTAACTTAGCCTTTGGCTGGGGGGATAAAAAGCCACAAAACACCATATTTAAGTTAATGAACCAAATTTTAAAAGGTGTAATTTTTGCTATTGTAATTCATTATTTATTCAAAGTAAAAAATGATAAAATTTACTTGCCAAAAATTTAGCACGCTAGCATTTATCCCCACCCGTCCAAAATTATAAATCTAACTGATGCATTGTTTGAAGGCGATCCCACACTGTAGCTACTTATGAATACGTAGAGGAATATTAATTTTTTTATGTTTTCAAAAAATTACGTACCCACACATTTATTTACAAGTCACTTTTAGGGTGTGATGTTTTTTCCCAAAAGGGCAAGCTTGCAAGTTTTTGACATTTTATGTTACTATATTTCCTCTAGGACAAATATTGTGGGAATAAACCATTACGGGAAAATCTCCAATGCCACACATGTCTGAAAAAAAAAAAACTAAAACATACATTGATCTACATGCATATTGTATATAAAATGAAAATTTCTGTGTAATACAAATACCTAAACTTTTGACAAAGATTCAGCTCCATCTTCCAGGGTATATGTATCACGTGGACATGGTGTACACGTGGCTGTGCTTCTGAATCTTTATAAAATCCTTGGGCACTTTTACATATAGACTGTAGGGGTTGATTTATCAAGAAAGGCGCCAATAACACACGGGACTAAATAAAACAATATCTTTTTTGTTAATGTATACTGAATTTAAAGAAGAAAATATCATTTTCTTGAAATTTTGCAAAATAAATTTCAATTTCGATACCAATGTAATTTAAGGTTCTAACTATGATTCACTCAGTAATGGATTTACCACAATGCATTGTTCTCTGTTTTATTGCTGTTCCCTCTGGACATTCAGGCTCGCTTAAACCAAATGAAAAGGAATCTATATCTGGATACAATCCACCCACATTTAATTTTCCATTTACTGCATCATCTTTGATTTGGTCAGATATTTTTCGTTGAGTGTGTTCCATGTAGTGAAAAGTTTCTTCCGAAGAATCATATGGACCAAGAAGTC